GATGTCCCACCTCAAATCTGCAAAACACACAAACATATTTGTGCATTTAAACAACATGCCTAGGAAAGTATCTTGACTCTGTACTGTTTTCTGAGAAGAAGAAAAGGGGGGACAAGTATCTCGGGTTGCTTGCCTCTGTTCCTTTGGATGACTCAGTGGCTTGGGCTGTCACTCCACTCAGCCTGTCTTCCCTGCCAGGGGTTTTGTGCCAGCGTTGCAAATAAGCTATGCCAGCTGCCCTGGATTCTTCAGCAGAGCAGAAAAGGACTTGGTTCTCAATGCAGCCCTCATGTTTTACCACCCATACCTGTATTTTCTAAGTGCTGCTGTTACCGAATCATATGTAACCAGCTGAGGGACGAAGGGCTTTTCCATCCACTTCCCCCTCCGTGCATTTAAAGAACACACACCGTTGTGGCCACGCTGCCCTTTTCACGGACGGCTTGTGCTATACAAGACTGGGAAGGTGTCTCCGCTCCTCTCTTGTATTATGCAAATGAGCTTCAGGAGCAGCATTCATGAAACCGAAATGACCTGTGCAGGAAACAGAATTCAACACACTTGGAGTTTCCAAGTTCTTCCAGGGAGTTTGGGAGGCTGTTGAAATCATATCGGGTCATGGCACCCAAGATCCTGACAAGTTTTCTGATGATCTTCCCTGCATGAAATAATAGTAGCCTCCTTGATTATAAAAACCCTACATGTTTCTCTCGTATGAGGACTGTCCGTCAGTTGCCTCTGTGTTTTCTCATCTTTCTTTCTTTGTGTCCACTTTCCATGATTGCAGGGGTTTCTTCCCAGATTACCCTCGCAGAGTCTGGAGGTGCAGTGAGGAGGCAAGGAGAAACTGTTCAGCTGACCTGTGCAGTGTCTGGGGTTTCCATCTCACACTCTGACATTCATTGGGTCCGTCAGTGACCAGGAAAGGGCCTGGCGTGGGCTGCATATGTTTGGATCAATGGTGCTCTGTTCTACACTGGTGGTCTGGCAAACAGGCTCACCGAGGGAACCCTCCAAAAACCAGGTGTTCCTGCAAGTGCGTGACCTGAAGCCTGAGGGCTCCACCATGTATTACTGTGCAAGAGTCGCACAGTGAGGAACTGCTCCTCCGAAGACCTACAAAGCATTTCTTGCTGCAAACACCAGGCATGAGTCACTTACGGCTCTGTCGTCAGCAGCTGAACAAGCTGTTGGATAACTCGCAAGCATGACATGAAGAAGCCTTTGGAGCATCTTGAATGAGCTGCGCTCATTTCAATACATTGGCAGATGGAAGGATGTTGGATGAAATAAAGATGAAATTACTGAACTATTCAGAATTGTTGTTGTTGTTGTTATTAAATGATTATTTTTCTGACTAATATTAGCTAGGCCCTAGAGCAAAAACATTGCAATGTCTTCCGTCCAGGCTGGGGATTCCTCTCTGTCTCCCCATCCCCCTAATGAGGTGCATCTTCAGAATCAGCCAAATGCAGTATGCAATTGACCTCTGGGAAAACCCTTCACTAAGCACAAGTGATCTGGGGAGGAAACTGAATTCAATGTC